TGCTGTTGTTAGCTACCTTTGAGTAGATTCTGACTCATGGTGACCCCATGTGTGCAGAGCAGAACCGCTTTATAGGGTTTTCAAGGCTGTGACCTTTCAGAAACATCACCATGACTGTCCTCTCAGCCGCCTCTGGGTGGGTTTGCACTGCCAACCTTTAGGCTAATAGTCGAATGCTTAACTGTTTGAATCACCCAGAGACTCCAAGAATGCACTAGATCTAAGTATATAAAAGGACAGTAGCATTTATATTTGTACCCAAATGACACTACTTAATTGGTCTTCATTTTACATTTTCAGTAGAGAAAGCACTCCCTCTACAAATCTGTCTTACTGTTAAGCACACATATTTGTTTGTCTGGCAAAAACCGTACTCGACACCCACGCACACACAACATATACTTCTCTCTCTCTCTCTCCCCCTCCAAGGATAATAATATTCAACTTCGTTTTGTCTGAATCATAAATAACACACTGGTATGGTCTATCTCAATCCTCGTCCTGCACACAGTGCGTATGCTTTATGTGAACATTTGGGGCTGGGAGGCACAAAGGACGCATCTTTAAAATCAACTACTTTGTCTAGCTCTAATCCTCCATCTAAGCAGAATTAGTGACGTCAAACCAGTTTCCATGGCACAGTCAGACTCATGACAACTCTGTTATATCAAGCAGAAGGACAAAATGGGGCTGCGCTTAATTGCACACAGAAACAAACATAAAACCAAACCCTGGTTAATCTCTCATTTTCCGGGGACTTGGGGAACAACTCTAAGATTGGAAGGTACATTAAGAATTTTTGCTATAGTTCAATAATGAAGACTCATGTTGCTTGTACTTCAGCATATTTTCCAGTTTGTTATGACAAACATCCGAATAAACAAGTCAAGTAATATTTTCTGTGATGCAACATTCTTAATTCATAACACTGCTTAGTTGCTAACAGCTATACAATGGAGTGTCTCAGTGGAACAAATTATGTGGATCTACTAGAACTAAAATACTGCAAAAACAAAGCAGAAAACACCAACTGCTAAGGAAGCATCTTCTCATATGAAGATATTATCTTTAATTACTAGCCCTCCCAAGTCAAACATTAAACTCATCCAACCCTATAAAATTCAGACCTTGCATTTATAGCTAAATGTGCTAGTAAAGTTCCTTCACGCCTGTGAAATTCCCAATAATACTTTCTTTAATTGTCACCTGCATAAAAAATTGTCAAGCCTTTATTCTTCTATAAATGTCCTACTATTTTATCAGACTATTGTAGTATCCTTGCTCACAGCTCTATAGAAACACTATTGCCATAAAAGAAGTGATCAGACTCCCTTGAAGTAAGTCACTGATTTCTGTCTTCCTCAGTAACCTCCTCACTGCCCCACACTGCAGGTGAGAGGGGGAGGGGAGAAACACAAATCCTGCTGTGAAGAACTGGAACCACAGGGTCCATCCTAATGTAGACAGGTAGCTGTGTTAGTTTCAGGGCAAACAAGGGAAAACATGCAAAAAAAGACTCCAAGGCAATTCTTCACATTTCCATCTCTTATCAGTGAGCACGTAAGTGTGCTCTTGGAGGGTCATTGCTTTTTTTAAATTTTTTTAATAGCTTAAACATAATACTGAAATTGGCACAGATAGCTCTCCAATAGACTCTCAACAAGACTGAGAAACATATGAAAATAGAGTTTTGTGTCAGAAAAGAATCCTGGAACATAGGGGTCAGGTATATAATCATAACCAGCAATCCAAATACTTATATTATACAAGTATTGCTTTGTTGAAGGAAGTTTGCAAACAGTTAGCACATGAAAGAGAATTACCTGCCTCAAAACACCATAACATGTCATAATTCTACCTTAAGCAATACAGTATGAAAGAGGCTATTTTTAGCTTTTCCACAGTTGTTATGGCAACCACCTCCTGGCTCCAGCTGTACACAATGTTTATAATTCCAGGGAAGTGAAAAGAGCAAGTTTCCTCTGTAATATAATTATGCACTTTCTACTTCTATGGTAATAATACCTTAGTTTGATTACAGATACTTGTTTAGTGATAGTCAATTGGCCTCAGGCTATAGTTCTAGAGGGTTTGGAAAATCTCATACATCAGAGGTAGAATCAGTGAAGGGGGAAAAAAAAAAACCAACCACCACAACAAAAGATCTTTATAAAGGACTCTGCTATTAGTCAGTGGAGATACCAATCTATAGGAAACCAACCATAGGAAATATGCCATTTGGGGGCGGTAAAAAGGGCAGGCTACAGTGAAATTACTAATAATGTGTAAGAAAAAAGGCTTTCAGATGATCTGTTAACTTGGAGTTTTCCTTTCTTCCTGGGCACCCAGCTAATGATACTGCTGGCCTCCTTTGCAGTTAGCTGTAGCCTGTGACTGAGTTCTGGACAATGGAATGTGGGCAGAAGTGACGTGAACTACTTCCAGACCTGGCCTGTGAAACCTCCTGCAAAATCTTCCTTACTCCCTCTTCTCTCATCTCATCTGTTAGCTGGAAGCAGAGGATCCAGTGGAGAACTCCAAGGCTCTAGGGAATGATGCAGCCCCAGGATGGAAGGAGCCTGAGACCCCTGAATGACTAGGTAGAGCAGAGTCCCCAGCACTGATCCATATTAGACTGGGATATGAGGGAGAAATAATCCTTTATGGTGTTAAACCCCTGAGATTTTGGGATACTCTATTACAGCAGTTGGCCTACCTTGACCAATACAGCTAGGAACTCTTCATATTCAAGTGGAAATAGATGTTCCTTTTCCTACAGTTCATACAGTACTAATTCATACAGATCCACTCACATTTCTCACTAGTTCTTAGCAAGTGCCAAATTCACCCCATGGCTTCCATTTCAGTTCATAGCCTATGATGGCTTTCCACCAGGTCATTTCTCAAGCTCAGTTTAAAATCAACTTGATTTCTTAAAAGCAAGGATCCAATTCATCTTCTGTATACTCCATGATAGTCCCTGGGTGGTGTAAATGGTTAATGCATTCGGCTGCCCACCCAAAGGGTGGCTGTTCAAGTCTAGACAGAAGCCCCTCGGAAGAAAGGCCAGGTGATCTACCTCTGAAAGACTAGCCATTGAAAATCCAAAGGAGCACCATTCTACTCTGATACTAGTGGGGTCACCATGAGTTGGATTCAACTGTCTCTGGTTACTCTGTCAAATGACGGGGGTTAGTTCAACTTTTTTTAAGTACTGAAATTCTATGACTCTTTGAAGCTTCTATGACTCTATGACTCTGACTCTTATTTTAAAGTACTGAATTCCATGACTCTTTGAATCCAATACTTGATGCCTTGCAAGATGATTTCACAACCATTATCTCTTTTGATGCAGTTTTTACCAACACACATAAAAATTCCTTTTACAAATACCTCTGTGATTTATAAGTATTTCTTTCTTAATGGATACAGTTACTATCCAGAATTAATATCCTATCACTTGTAGATGTCAAAACCAGGATTAAGGTAATGGCCCGAATTTCAACCCTCCTGGGTTCTACTCTGCCCCAACCTTCTGTAATCTTTTAGGGTTCGGCTCTGATTTGATCAGTGCCACTTCTATATCTGATCATCAGGGGCACACTCCCACTGACAACAAACAACAAGCAGTTTGCAGGTTTTAAAGGAAAATTTTACTAAAACAAAGCAATTAAAACATACAAAAAAATAGTGCATAGAAGATGGAATTACAAATAAAGACCCTTAATGAGAAGCAGTTTCTCAACCAGTTTCTACAGATGGTTAAAAAAAAAAAAAATAGATCCCTAACCTCAGTTTTCTCATCTATAAAATAGATGAGATAGTTTTCTCATCTATCCAAGTTAAATGAGCACAGCACCTGGCACATAGTATGCGCTCAATAAACTTCAGCTGCAACCCCTGCTAGTCGCTGGTCTTAGAGGTTTCTTAAGAGAAGTATAGTCCTTCGGTCTTCCCTTTTCAAAGCTGTAATTCCTTTGTATCTCTTCCGAACTCCTAGCCATTTTATAAAGGATGATCGTGAAGCCCTAAATTCAACAAATGATCAAGCTAGCTCAAGATGCAACAGCTCTTTTCAGTAGGTTTTCTTTGAAGGCTTAGCCATCATTCAGGTTTTTCCAAGGGAAGAGCAGAACTTAGTCACAATTTCACTCTTCATGCTATTTCAATTATAAGACCTCTATAACACATTTCTCAATAAAAGTGAAAAGACAGACATTGTATCCTAGTGGAACCCAATTCAAACTAGAACATAGATGGGGTAGTGGACACAGCTCTTTCCTCCAAGGGGTGGTCTGACATCTTTTAATCACTTAATAACATGCCAAAGTTTAGCATACACCCATTCTCCCAGTAAGAATGGAAAAACCAGAGGATGGGGCCTTGCTTGGTGAAACTTCACTGACCTGAGCTCTGACTGAGGAGTGTATATAGCTTTAAGAAGGTATTCCCAGGAACATCCCAGGAACTCTATCAGCCCCCTCAAAATAGCAGGCAATTGAGTTAGTGATGGTGACTCAGGCAGGCTTTTTAATCCTGATCTAAAGGAACTACCACAACTCTAGAGAGGAAAATAAAAAGGGAATCGAGTGGAAAAGGCCTCCACCACCAGATGACTCATGCTCCACCGTGTGACTTGCCCAGCACATTACTCTGTCGCTAAGACATGGAGGCTAGGTTTATTAGTCACTTTAATGAATTTTTCAAAGAAAGGATTCTCCCCTATAAATAATAATGAGCTCTGCCTCCATAGTGTTTGTGTGTGAGCTCATGACTCACCTTTCTACCATGCCAGGCAGCACCAATCGTGTCATCTGCAAAAGAGAAAAACAAAACAGTCGTGATGGCTGAGGATGCAGGGAACAGATAAAGAGTGAGGAAAATCCACCCTCACAAGAAAGAAGGGAATCACAAAACCACTCACCACTTCTACACACAGTAGATTTTTTTATATACTCTATATAATTTGGCTGTGTCAAGAGTACATAAAAAGGAATCCGATGAAATTACTGGAGATAACACTGGGAATACTTTCAGTGAACTTGGCTAAAATTAGTCTTGCCTGAAATGTAATACTGGCACAGAGATCTTCAAATAGTAACGGATTTACGGTGAAATCTATGTCTCCCAAACTACATTCCCAGAAAAGGACATATGTTATCATAAGAAATATTCTGCTCACCAAGACTACTTAAGCTTTCTAATCTCAAGAGTTCAAACAATCTTTGCCAATCAAAAAAACCTTTAGAAGAATGATATCAAGTGATATGTTGGCAAATAGTAAGTGTATCTTCACATTCATTTCTCTTGTTGGTCTAGCTAGTGGCGAATAAAACTCATCCTTAAGGAAAGTAAGGTTATCTGTGACCTCCAGTAACCAATAATGAAAAGGTGGTATCTGAATTTTTAAAGGAATTCAGAGTTGTTGACTAAATATATATAACAAGAGATGCTACTTTTAAATTCTGTTTTAAGATATTTTTAACCATGAAAAGTTAAGAAGTCCAGTGGCTTAGTAAAGGTCACATCATAGTTAAATACTGTGGTCGGAACATGAATTTCTAACTCTTAGATATCATCAGTTCTCTAAGAAACAAATGCTGTTTTGTAGCAGAAAGGTTTGAATGCAGGCCAAGCATGGGAATTTCAAGCTTTCTATCTTGAATAGTACAGTGTATTAATTAAAACACACAACAGTCTAATGAGAAAAAAAAAGATGTTTTGTCTCTAGAAATAATTTTTTTTTTTTTTAAAAAAAGAAAAAGCCATCCAGACTTTACCAAGGTAAAATTTGCTATGTGGTGCTCCCAACCCAAATGTCAACCTCAGAGCTGCTGCACACCCTCTCCCAGTAAAAATACGAGTTCACGCCAACACTGTGTCATAAACAATAGACTGACAAACTGCCAACCAAACAGACGATGTATCTTCAAAGCCTAGGGGAATCATTTTAACAGAAATATCTGGATTTGGCTGAATCTTTTGGCCCAGATTAAAAAAAGGAAAAACCAGAAGAGTTTGGCCTAAAGCATTCCATATTTTTCTCCCTCTTACATACAAGTCTACCTTTTCATATTAAACCCATCTTCATAGAATGATGGGGCAGAGACTGCTAATTGTCCCCCAAACATTCATTCATTCTTTTTTCCATAGCAATTAAAAAGTTGGGCATATGGCCTCTTCCCACCCCACCCCCCTCAAGGTCCCCCATAAAAATTACAATTCCTATAACCTCTCTGTCGTGTTCGAGGCCTCTGGATAATGCGAGAGAGTCCCCTGGAACAATTCAATCCCCTTCTAGTTCAATTTTATCCTAGCCCTTCCACTTACTAACTGTGTGACCTTGAATAAGTTCCTTATCCTCTTCCTCAGACTCCTTATCTATTAAATGAAGGTGCCATGTACATTACAGGTTATTATATTCTGAATCTCAAAAGAGGTAATGTATTAAAGAGACCTAGCGCAGAGCATGGCACAGAGTAGGCCCCTAAAGGGAAATTAGTGTCCCTATTGTCAGCACAGTTAAGCACTCAGCTGCTAACCAAAAGGTTGGCAGTTCGAACCCACCAGCCACTCCACAGGAGAAAAGACCTGGCCATCTGCTCCCATAAAGATTACAGCCTAGGAAACCTGCGGGGCAGCTCTTCTCTGTCAGAATAACAGTATGTACTATCGTTTTAGGATACAGTACCACTAAGCATATGTAGGCCTGCCTTTAAGCACGCTGTGCCCTGGACAGTTTAGAACCACAAACAAACACACGTTTTGAGGTTATCCAGTTCAACTCAGCACAAAGAGGTTTTGGACAGTTCCATCAATGTTTAAAAATATCTCAATTGTCATCTTCTTGGGGGTAGTAGAAAATGTAGTAAAATTGGATTGTAGTGATGACTGCGTGGCACTGTAAATTTATTAAAAATCATTGAATTGTACAATTAAAACAGATAAATTTTATGGTTATGTAAACTATCCCTCAATAAAGCTGTTTTAAAAAAAAACACTTCAAAAATCACATGGGTAAGAATTAAAGAGCTAGAATCACAAAATATACTTGATGCTACTTTATCAAACACAGGAGATGAAAGGGCACTCAAAATGCTCTGTGCTTATACATTTATGGCCTGGAGCAACGTGAGGTAATGACGAGTCATTCTCTTGTTCATTGGGGCTGTTTATCTGCCAAGACCTGGGCATAGTGGTGAGAGCTCACTGTGTGGTACCAGACAATGCTACAAGTGGTACAACAGAAGTGAGGACAGAGGGCTCTGACAGGAGAAGAAAAAGTTATGTCTGGGGAATTGGGCAGAGCTTTGCAGATTATGTTTCGGTTAAGTTCTGAAAGAGTAAATAGGAGCTCACCAGGCAGAAAAAAATTGATGACAATGATTTCATTCTACTTGGATCAACAATCAACATCCATGGAAGCAGCAGTCCAGAAATCAAATGACATATTGCATTGGGAAAATCTGCTGCAAATAACCTCTTTAAAGTTTTAAAAAGCAAAGATGTCACTTTGATGACTAAGGTAAGTCTGACCCATCTTTTCAATTGCCTAATATGCATCTGAAAGTTGGATACAAAAAAGGAAGACAGAAGAATTGATGCATTCAAACTGTGGTATTGGCGAAGAATATTGAATATATCAAGAAGAACAAATACATTGTGAAGAACAAACAAGTCAGTCTTAGAAGAAATATGACCAGAATGTTCCTTAAAAGCGAGGATGGCTAGACTTCGGCTCGCTTACTTTGGACACATCATCAGGAAAGACTAATCGCTAGAAGAGAACATCATATTTGTAAAGCAGATGGTCAGCAAAAACAAGGGAAGCCCTCAGTGAGATGGGTTGATACAACAGCCACAACAATGGACTCAAACATACCAGTGATCATGAAGATGGTGCAGGACAGGGCAATGTTTTATTCTGTTATACACAAGGTTGCTATGGGTAGGAGGCGACTTGATGGCAACCAACAACAAGAGTCAGAAAAAATTCTAGTACAAAGAATAGAATGCCACAAGTCAAAGAGCTGTGAGAAACTACAAAATGTATGCTATGGAACTGATGCATTTTTAAAAGAGTCTTTGTTGAATGAATAAACTAAGAACAGAAAGAAGAATATTGTATTCTGTTACAGGTCACGCAACTTGCATTTTCATTTAATACTACATCATGGAATGCCTTCCTTGCTAGTACAAGCAGATGTACATCAGGCACATTAAGAACTATGGAGTATTTTATTTTAAGGATAGATTATATGCATTATTTAAAAATTGTGCTTTAGGTGAAAGTTCACAGAACAAATTAGTTTCTCATTAAACAACACACATTGTTTTCCGACATTGGTTGCCAACCCTGCGACGTTTCAACACTCTCTCTTCTCCACCCTGGGTTCCCTGTTAGATTATATGCATTCTTAACAGTATCTGAAAACATTTTTTATTTAGCACATTTCATAAGGGGACCATAACGCTTAGCTAATGTATTATAAAGAAGTCCCCAAGCATTTGTGAAGAGAATCCATTATTCAGCTCCCTAAAGTCCTGAGATCACCAGAAACAGAATGAGGAAGAAGACTGGTAATAAAAATGTCCTTACCCAGGGGTATAC